CTCAACGATTATGAGCTTTTTCGATGAAAACGATTTGTTCGCGAGGCGAGGAGTTATGAACAAATATTGGTACGACAGCCCGGAATTCTACAGAAAAGCGAGCGAGGTAATGATAACTCGAGACCTGTCGCTCTACGACTTTACCCGGTTACGTCCCAAACAGGCGACGAAACTGCTCTCGCAGACGGACTTCTTCGAGTTTGTACATTCGAAAGAATTGGACAAATTTACTAGCACTCATCGGCCCGCTTGTCTTTTATATCTGGGCGAAATAATGTCGAGAGAATTATGCCGACTATGGGCACTGTATTCTTTCATGCAGTTGACGTGCAATCGATTTCCGCTTCTCTGCTCCGAGATCGTCATTGACAAGCTGGATAACGAAGATTTGGTGCGTATTTGCGTGGCAGCTCAAATTCAAAACTAATTTATTAGCATATTTTTAGTATTTTTTATGTTTAGTGTTATTTAATTATGTAAAACGTATTTAAGTTTGTAAAGTTGTAAAATTGTCTTCCAATAAATGAATTTAAAATAGTTAGTTCCCATTTTTACTATTTATATAAACAAACGATCATGTTGAAGTAAAAAATCTCAAGTTGTGTATTCATTATCGAAGCATCTCATAGAGACCAAAGGTATTCATACATAAATAAAAAATATAAATATTTTAATAAAAATGTACTAAAAAATTGATACAAAAAAAAACTCATGTAACTATGTACAAGCAGCTTCGTATCTGTAAGCGAGTCATCAGTTATTCAAAATTCGTAAGTAAAAAAAAACAGTATACGGAGAAGATGGAGAGCTACTTTGGGGGTCAGCTGCTGCTGTTGCCGCTGCTACTGGCGCGTTTTATTAACATAATCCATCGGCGTGTAAAGACATCTACCAAAACTATTACACGACTGCCGTCATGTAAGTACACGCATGTTGCCTGCCTGCCCGTGTGCATCCTATCCTAGTGCACGGGAATCGCAGCCTTATCGCGGTGTCACATCAAAGTAAACGCCGGGCCAGATTTATGGAATCTTAAAAAGCTCGCCCCGGCGTATCTCTAATAGACCACATGCACGGCGCAAGTACAACACGACGTCGTCGCGATAAATATATAACGCATCGCGCGTATATGATATGCGGGGCTATGTACTTGCGGATGCGGCCCGCCAGGCGAGCGAGCGAGTTTCGCCTATGTAGGCCGTGTACGCAGAGCGAGAGAGAGGAACATCAAAGCGACCTTATAATCACGCGTAATATAAGCTCGAGGCTCGGCTCGGTTAATCACCGCTTGGAATTACGCCAAAGTCGCGCGGCCACTGCTGCTGATACGCTCCAAATTGCTCGATGATCGCGATCATATGTATATTCCAAATAACCACCAGCAGCGATTCTGCTTCGATTAACTGCTTTCTCGTCTCCATCGAGCCGAAGAAAAAGTATAAGTATTGACTGTTCGGAAGGACGTTTATCGACGCGCTGCCTAGGAGTCGTACAGTGGATATACATCAAGCAACCTGCATTACTCGCGTTGCCGTGCACGAGCTAAAAGTTGTAATAGTAGTAGTATACTTGTATATTACGACGAAGAGGAATCACCCTAAAATTAGACGGATCGCTCGCAGGCCATCATTAATTATCGCCGCAGCCGGAAAAAGCCAATGCAGCGGCAACGGTGGTGGCTGCGGCGCTAGGCTAACTTAACTCGCACGATATATACTTGCACTTGGGGCATATACAACATTGCAAAGTACCACCACCTCGCCAGCGAAACATACGCCTTTTATGCCAATCGTAAGTTGGGACGAGATAAATGCGCACCGCCGACACCACCACCACCACCACCGCCGCCGTTGCTGCATCGGCGTATCGAATAGCGATGTCGCGCGAAAGCTTTTTCCCCGTAAGATTAATGACTCCAACGTGTAATTATCCATTGGCACGTATTATATACGCATATGTTATTCTTGCAAGCGCGATTTGACTTTTTTTTCACTTTCATCTGTTTCATCTCGACATTGATATGCTTGACTCGGAATCACGCGACGACGGAATGCATTACCCGACTTTGGTACATCAGCAACTGCTGCGATCATATACGAGAGCACATGGTACAACAGCCTAGAATATAAAATTCCAACGGACGCGCGTCGCATTCGTCGAATGGCTGATATTCTACTTGCGAGCGAGAGAGCATCGTTAGCGTCACGAATAAGTTAATTTGGCAAGATTAATCGATTCGAGCCGCCACCGTCGGTAGCAACAGCATCACCTCGAAGCTCGTCAACCCATCCACGCAGGGCATACGCTATAATGTAAAGTAGTACCCGCGCGTCTATTTATACATGTGATGTGACTCGCTCCGAAATTGAGTATACAGCAGATCGCGTATGCACGGCGCACACTTACACTGGCGCGAATGTATATAAGTGTACACAAAAACTTTTTTCCACTTTGTTCGTGACACGCACAAGCAGTATATTATAGGCCGTGTATGCATGTAAGGCAATATGTATAATCATGCCCTACATAATATCGAAGCATAGGCGTGTTTATAAACAAGCTTATAGATCGGGCGCCAAAGTTTCGCGCGCAGAGATCACTTTCGTGGTATAAAAAATTGTAAATATAAACAGTGAAGGCGCGCGAATATTTGCCGCTATCTATAGGATTAACGAAATGTCAGATTGGCGGACGAGCATCAACCTGTATTATTACTATTAGATGTGTCGCTTTTGTCGTGCACGAGAGTCTTGTGTATGTGTCTGAGTATTGTGTGTGTGTGTGTGTGTGTAGGTGCCGCGCACGATAGTTCGACCGCGAATAAGTCAATGACACTTGAACGCGTGTATCTCTCTACACACAGAGACGCGCATACAGCACTATTTACTTTATTTATATTATACATTGTACACCTTATGCGTGTATCCATTGTGCTCGCGAAACACTATTATACATTGCGTAAGTGATATTTTCGCGCACGATCGTTTAGTTTTCGCTTCATTTACTGGAATTTTCACTATATGGGTATGTATTTTAACGGAGGATTATTGGCGACGTGCGAGAGAACGGCTCAGAAACGTCGGACAAGAAGCACGACAACCTCGACAATGACAATGAAAATTCAACACGTCTGCACACTTGCTGCTGCTGTACGCCGTGAGCACGTCAACACGCCATGCTTATGTGTGTGTGTGTGTGCGTGAGTGTGTTATTGTTGCGAGCAGAAAAGCTTGTAATATTAATACGGAAAAGTATCATATACTCGTCGATTGGGTGAAAACGATGTGCGTGTGCAGCTTGAAAACGATTGGGCAAAGTATTAAGGAAAGAATGATTTTCTTCGCAACTTTGCGTTGTGTGTGTGTGTGTGTGTGTGTGTGCGTACTTGACAAATGAAACATCTTCTCGGGCTTAAATTGAATTGAAGCTTCTCTCTCTCTCTCTCTCTCTCTCTCTCGCTCTTTGGGTGAAGTTGTGCCAACAACTTGTAAACAGTTTGTGCATATAGCAGCTAAAGAGACTCGCTGTTGAGAGAAAGCAAGAGGGAGAACACATCAGTCTTTCTCGCTCGCCGTACCAAAGCGAGAGAGAGAAAGAGAGATGCATTTACATGGCTTTAAAACGGCAGCAACAGCAGCATTACTTGCAAGTATATAAGAGAGCTCTCGAAGCTCCTACACAGCGAGAGAGGCAATAGCTGCTGCCGCTGCTCGGCGCTGATACCACCACTGCTTCTGCAGTTAGGTGTATCTGTATATGCTTACTCTCTTTCTGCGTGTGTGTATGTGTGTGCGCAGTGCCGCAAGATTAACGATCTCTTGAGTTTTCACGCGCGCGAGTTAGAGGATATTGCTAAAGAAGTGCTGCACATATACACACATACAGAGAAGGGAACGCGACGAGGGGGATGCTCGACTCGCGCGCCTTTCGTGTATAATACACCTTCTCCGTTGTAGGACTGCTCGCGAGCGCACGTGAACTCGACACCGCCCGGATGTGTATTAAGGGGTTCGATTTTGTTCAGATGTATACGCGGGTGCCTCGCGTCGATGGAATTCCTCCGACTCATGGCTTTTCCATTGTAACTACTCGGGAATTCACCGCGGATTCGACGTTCACGGATACAATGCGGCGGGTCTTTATTGCTTACCAATGATTTCGCGGCTCCGTTTGCCTTTGTTTGGAAACTGCGCACTCTTCAACGAACGACGATGATCGCTGCGTTTCGATGACCGTTGGGGTTCGATGCACTGCACAATCACAACACATACAATGGCACCTCCGATTGTACTAAACGGCGCACACCCCATTTCGTAGCACTGTTTACCTTGAAAGAACAATTATCCATTCAACGATAAACGAACATCAATAAAATGATTGAAAAAAATATTGCTCCGATTTCGGTTGCAATTCAAGTTTCGCAGAACCTCGCCTGCCGACAACAGCCTGAAGACGACAGCGACATCTCTTCTTGATTTTTCGCAACAGTAACTATATACTAACAGTAAACAGCCGACCGTCTAGCAGACGACCGAAATTTCTTCCTTACCCGTAGTCAGTGACGCCTCGACTCCCAAAACATGTAAACATAAACAAGTTTTCAATCGCTCTCCAATTTTCTCTCATTTTCCTGTCAAAATTATCGTTTCATCGAAAAAACATGTCCGCGAAAATATACTGGAGTCTCAGGCACAACTCGACGATGGCAACGCGAAAACTGCAGGGCAGGCATCATCGCCACCTTTTACGTGTGGTGAACATCGTCGGTTTTTACGCGAAATCTGCTTACTGCGGCCGACCAGCAGTCAACGGCCGCTCGTCGTCCGATTACAATACGTAAGAGATTCAAATCCACAACGCACGCGAATTATAAATATATGAAACGACCATAGTACAAGTGTCTGCGCGACGCGACCGCTATCGCGTTTCAAGAAGTCCCGGGCTATGTCGATTCGCGCTCCGTTCTGAACGCTTGAAAACTTTCAACCAATGAAATAGCGACAACGCGTCGCCGTCGTCACTGATCGTCGTCAGCAGCGCTCGCGATTCCACGTCCTCGCCGCATCATCCTTCCAGCAGCTCGAGCCGGTATAATTCGCGCTGTGCGAAAGCCGTAACAGCAGCAGCAGCGTCGCCTCATCATCATATACGGCAGCAGCAGCAACGACTCTGGGATTGTATTCGTGGAGGAGGAGAAAAGACAACGACTGCTCGCGACTGCTTTTGGCCCCGAGACCGAACACGTCGGCTTCCACGACTTCAGTTGATTGCGCGAGGCTCGACCGATCGAGACCAACACAGACCCAACGACAAAATGTACAAGTGCCTGGCTCTGTTGCTGCTGGTAGCCACGAGCTGCTGCTACGCCGCCGGCGAAGACGTCTACGAGTGGAACGATGGCGAGTTCACCGAGGAGCTCAAGCGCCATGAGAACACCCTCGTCATGTTCTACGCACCCTGGTACGTGTCGCTTGATTTTATCTCGATATTCGAGAGAATTCACGTTTCGTATTTTGGGGTTTTTTCGATATTTCACTGTGCTGACGGATGAATCTTCTCTTACTCATTGATGCTACGTGTCTCTGATTTATTCGTCTTTTTCTTTGTGCGACCGGGATCGCGCGATAAACATACGCCATCGATTTCAGTTAGACATGCTCATGTCCGATAGAATTTCAACACAAAAACTGTCGATTGATCGGCTTTACATATGCCAGCAGGTCAAAGTCAAATTGACCATTAGCTCTAAATTATTTGTTTCCGTATTCAACTAGCTCCAATTACTTTTGATTTCGAATTCAAATGTCATTTTTATTTTCATGCCATATCTGATCCATCTAGCTGATAAGAGCAGATCGAGTACCTTTTCTTGTAGTTAAAGATAATTTAAATACATAGATTCACAATATTGACAAAAACTTTAACATTTTTGAGCATTATTTTTCATCTTTGTTGAATCTGCAAAGATTTTTATTACTATAATATTTTGCTTCAAAAAACAGACTTTATAAATAACAGTTATTTATATTATTATTATTTTTTCTCAGGTGTGGACATTGCAAAAAATTGAAACCTGAATATACTAAAGCTGCTGAAATGTTGAGAAACAATGACCCACCAATCACTTTGGCTAAAGTTGACTGTACAGAAGGTGGAAAAGACACTTGCAGCAAGTACCAAGTCAGTGGCTACCCAACATTGAAAATCTTTAACAGAGACGAAATGGTTAGCGAGTACAATGGACCAAGAGAGGCATCTGGTATTGCCAAATACATGAGGGTACTTATTGCACATTTATTGTTTTACATATAATTCTGTTTTATATGAAATGTACTATCTAAAAGTTTAATTAAAATAAATTTATTTAGGCTCAAGTTGGACCTGCATCAAAAGAACTTAAGACTGCTGAAGACTTATCTAATTTCCTCAATTCCGATGAAGTAAGTGTAGTTGGTTTCTTTGAAAAAGATGATGGTAAATTGTCTGCTGCCTACCATGCTGTTACCAAAAAATTGAGAGAAAAAGTTAGGTTTGCTCATGTCATTGCACCTGAAGTTCTCAAAAAAGAAGAACTCAAGTGAGTATTGAAATAATGATTTAATGAATTTATCCAATCATTCAGTTACTATTGAATTATATTCTAAATTTGTTTATAATTTTCAGGAATAACATTGTGTTGTACAGACCAAAAGTTCTGAACAACAAATTTGAGCCATCCAAGCTTGTTTATGAAGGTGCTGAAAGTGTTGGTGACATCCAGTCTTTCATTAAAGAAAACTAGTACGAATAAATGTTTATTTACCTTCAAAATTTTCATTTACAACACAAATTAATGATTAAATGTTTTTTTTTTTGTAGCTATGGTCTTGTTGGAGTTCGTACTTCTGAAAACCGTGGAGAATTCAAAAACCCATTGGTTGTTGCCTACTACAATGTTGACTATACCAAGAACCCCAAGGGTACAAACTACTGGCGTAACCGTGTCATGAAGGTGGCCAAGGAATACCCAGAATATAACTTCGCTATTTCTTCCAAAGACGAGTTCCAACACGAACTTAACGACTTTGGAATTGATTACGTCAAAGGAGACAAACCAGTTGTATTGGCCCGTGACGAACGCAACCAGAAATTCGTTCTCTCCGACGAGTTTTCTCTGGAAAGCTTCGAGCTTTTCATGAATGACTTACAATCTGGCTCATTGGAACCTTTCCAAAAATCAGAACCAATTCCTGAAGACAATTCCGGACCAGTCAAGGTCGCCGTTGCCAAGAACTTCGACGAACTTGTTACAAACAGTGACAAAGATGTACTGATCTCGTTCTATGCCCCATGGTGCGGACACTGCAAGAAACTTGCTCCAACCTTCGAAGAATTGGGTTAGTAAATCTGCAGAAATATATATTATTTTAATATCAGTTGTTTTACTAAAACTCGATAATAAATCAACTTTTTTTGTTCTAAACAGCTGAGAAATTGGCCGACGAAGATGTAGCCATTGTCAAGATGGATGCTACAGCCAATGATGTTCCACAACCCTTCAATGTCCAAGGCTTCCCTACTCTCTACTGGGTCCCCAAGGATGCCAAGGATAGCCCAGTCAAATACGAATCCGGCCGCGACCTCGAAGAATTCATCAAATTCATCGCCAAGCGCGCAACCAAGCCCCTGAAGGGCTATGACCGCAGCGGCAAGCCCGTCAAGCCCGCTCAAGATGAGCTGTAAAAAATCACCAAGAAACAACGTTCCATTCTTTGATATGCATGTAATATTAAGACTCAAAACTAAGAAAAGTTATGCGTGATCGATTTGTAATTTTTGAGAATTTTTTCATTTTTATAATGTAACTGATTTGTCAGATATTGATAACGTTTTATCATCAATCTGTAACAAGTGAGAAATTCTAAAACAGACGCTCTTATTTTAGAGTAACAACTTTATAGTATTAAAAGAAAAAATTGCTCTAAATTTTTACTTTGAACAAGAAAATAAATGTGTCCCAAAAAGGCACAAAAACCATCTGAAATTAAACTTGCAATAATTTTGTACAGAAAATGAAGCTTAAATACTCCATGTATTATGTTACTTGCGGATGAATGACTTACTAAGCGTTTTTTATCGGTCTTTTGAGCAAGCCTGAATGAAGTAAATAGATTTATGTTTACAATTTTTGTGCATATGGAAGACTGATATTGCAACATGCTCGATCCTGTTAGAAAATCTGCGTTGTAATGTATGATGATGAAAAAGAGGTGATATTTAATGCATTCATTTTTGTTTTTACACAAAAATCAATAAAATTGTTTTTTACAAAAAGAAAAAAATTTCTCGAAATTTCGAAACTCTCTCATTCACATCTGTTCATCTTTCTCCAAAAATAGTCCGCATGATCTTAGCCGTGGAGAAAAATATTAGGGTCCCTAAGCAGACTCGTGCAGCGGCAGAGATGCCACAATACACGTAGCATCATGTATATATAGTGCAAAATGACTGCGGGTAGAACGATTGGCGCGAGAGCCTACAGCACTAGTTCTTGGCTGTCAGCTTTGGCCTGCGGAGGCTCCGTTTTGCGGTAGGCCCCGCGTGGCTGCTCCTGCGTCGTTACTCAAATCTCAAGTAACTAATTTAATTTTTATTCTCCAAATCATCAACGCCTCGACCAGCGATTCAGCTTCTATTGTCCTCTATCAAGAAGTTGAATTCGAATATATAAACAAAAACATCCTTCGCTCCAAAATCCAGCGGATTAAATACAATTGAGTCGCAGTTGCGCTAACGCGTCTTCTCAACGGCAAATCAGGATCATTGGAAATCATGACTCGTGAGTACTCGAATTTTTAATTTTTCACCTGTTATCGAGTATCTTAACGACTTCACAATGTAATAATGCCAATCTTAACGTTTATTTTATTGCCGTTGGTGGATAATTGAATCGATAAAGCTGCTTGGAGGTTATTTCAAGTATTTTCATCTTTTTTTATTGCATCTCCGTATCGAATGGAACTTGCAATGACTATTTTCGTGCTCGAAAAGTTCTGCTCGGTTGAATAATAACGAGAAAAACAAAAGCACGCGACTTTTTTACAGCAGCAGCTACCATTGTTCAGTGCGCACCTGAGTAATCCTAGTTACATTCACCATATAGAATCTTTCTCCGCCGTACGAATTGAATATTTGATTAGAGCGAAATTGTCTAAAATAACGTTAATTCGGTGGCGAAAATAACTTACAAAACTTGAATTTAACCGTTTTTAGCGAGCATATAGATAGCTTACACGAGTAAAGCTTCCAGAAAAATCTTTATCTTCTGCTTCTATTTATGACGATGCTTTGGTGTATGTTACTGTCGGCACCGACGTGTCTGTAGGGTTGCTTGGATTCGAAAAAAAACGTGTTGATTTTAGATTTAATTAATGTAATGACTTAAAGATCTAACAATTTTAGACAATGTTTTTTTTCAACTGTTACATTACTGCATGAAATACTTTTAAAAAAAATGTGTTGTTTACAACGACCAAATAATACTATGACCCCAATTGTGTAATACTGAATACTGCTTTGTGGTTTTAAATTTTGTAACAATAAGATGGGATGGTGAAACTATAATTTTATGTAATTGCACTTGAATACAATTCATTATAACAATTGAATGAATTTCTAGGTGGAAATCAAAGAGAGTTGGCTCGTGCCAAGAACATGAAAAAATCTGGTAAAAAAGCTGCTGCGGAGCAGGAAAGCAACAAAGGCCTTACTCTCGAACAGAGGAAGGAAAGGTAATATTAAAAACATACAATTTTTTATTTTTATATCATTTTTACTCAACAGACCTTTATTTTATTTGTAGAGATGCACAGCGAATGAGGGAAAAACAACTAAAAAAGCAGCAAGATGCTATGGAGGGTAAAAAACAATCTGAAAAATAATAATTATAGTTCGTTTCTACCAATAACCAATTGAATGAATCCAACAAAAATGATAATGAGAAACACTCTTTTATGAGTGATCCTTTTAAAGATATGCATTAATAAAATAAAGACTTCTGAGAGTAAATATGTGATTTCTCAGCATAGCACATGAATTTTATATAGAGCATACAGAACATGACAAGTGTTGTAATTGTTCTACCAAGTATTAACTAGGACTTGTGAATAAACGCACCATTAATGAATTATTTTGAAATTCGTGTATGATTTGTAGGAATTAGTAATTAAATTAGTAAAAGGTTGAATGTATTCTAATTACGTGTGATTATTCCAATGTGAATGTGAACTCTTAATTTTTATGAACTTTATTATTTTCATTCATTCTATACATAAATGTCAAATGTAATTTAGTCATTTTAAAACACAATAAATTTATGAATTGTTATTGGAAGGACGATTTATTCTTCAAATGAATCATTTTGTTTCATTTATAATTCAATTATTTTTCGAAATTTCTGTGTAGGAACACATAAAATGATATAGGTAAAGAAAAATGAATAAGTGATGACAAAAATTTTTTAAACTTTTATTGCACTTTCCCAAAAAGTACACTTTTTTATATGAAAGACCTTGCGGGCATTGAGATGATGTTTAAATTACAGTATGTAGATTAAACATGGTATTAAATTACTTACTTCGAATAGTAAAAATGTTCATATAAAATATACAAAGGTTTGAAGCACTATGGAAGACTGTAACTTACAGTTATAAAAATCATAAAAACGTTTGAGTAAAAATATTCAAAAAAGTTATGAAATCAGATGTAGAAATTGGACCTTATCAATCAAATTGTGATCTTATTTGACTCTTATGCTTTAACCTGAATTTTTACATTTTATAAGTTTTTTTGTTTGTGAAATTAAAATTTAAAATTAATATGAAAAAGTGTATTTTCCATTGAACATAAGTATAGGAATTTACTTAGTCTAACATGATTTCTTCCACTAATGTCTTGGACATTAAAATGTTGGTCTTCAAAGTTAATTCTATAATATCGCTTATGACAGCCTAATCAACACAAATAATAGATACAAATTGATTATATAAAAACATTGTACACATACTTAAAAATTAAAAATTCATCAAAGAAAAATCTAATTATAAATAAATCAAACCAAAGAAAAAGCAAGATATAATGTTGTATACCAAAAAAAAATTTTAATTTTTATAAAAAATTTTAATGGCACTAATTTTATCATGTAAATTTCATACCAAATACGTTTCACTTTTTAAGCACCATTGCGAAATCAGTACCCATGTATGCATTACACGTCCTAAGTTTAAAAACACGTCGATTTTTAATCGATAGAAAAAGTACTTGTATTATCCTGTATACAAGTGACTATCCCTAAATTATCATAATAATACAACATTTTCGTTCCATGTCATTGAACTTATTTCATAAGTTTTTTTTCCTGTCAAATTACGAAGATAATTAAGTTAACTCATGCGCTCATAACACATTCATTCCAAAGTATTTTTTTTTCTTGATTATACCACATTCACACCATATTTTTTTGTTTTATGCACTCGCACCAATTACAACTACATGATTTTTTCTGTTCATACTCATTATCAGAACGTAGCTATTGCTTATATGTACTTCGATGATGATCCATCACTTAATGACTTGAGCTATCGATTATTTAGTTTTTTTCTTGAATTTCGTATCAAAATTTGGCAGGGCAATCAGTATCCAATTTCAAAAAAGTAATTTTACAAATCTGTTTGAAAAGATGTGCGCCTTCTTGATATATTTTATATTTTACGAATTATATAGTTGAATTTATATTGTTGCAAAACTCGTAAAAGTGTAGCACCATTTTCAATTAGAACTGTTTCAACGTGATAGTATAAAAGCACCGTGTCTCATTCTAGCTAAGGAACCCTTATTACTTCATATAATATGTATAGACATTGTTAATCGTATAATAATATATCGTAGCGTTAAAAGTTCACAAATTAATTATTATTATATCATATATAATTTATATAATGTATGTAATAGCATTTAAAATACAAATTACGTATGTGTACAATGCGAGCGTACTTTTGAAATATCTATCTAATTCGATTAAATCGACTATACAATTGACATTAATCTTCCACTACAAATAGTAAATAAATTATATACTTTTATTATTGGAATGATAATTACTCGCTCGTGAAATTACGGAGGGCAATAATTTCAGCGGGAGCCAAGCGAGTTTTGCGCATTCTTATATTTTCTCGAATCGTGTACGCGAGTTGGTCGGTATTTTTTCACTCTTGCACACACCTTATAAACCGAAACTTATATAATATAAATTATTAACTGCCGATAAAAACACAATTTACAAGTTGCGCATTTGATGCGCGAACAATTCGTCTAAATACACACACCCTTACCAGCTAAAGAAAAAAAAAACAAACGAGATATATAATTCAAAATTTTTTTTGTTCACCTATTATCATTAAAAGGGCAATTATAAACATGCTATACACAATTATAAGACAAGCGTGCCAGTGAATAAACGTCAAACTCATCTTACAATTCATATATAGGAAGACCTACAAACTATTATGAGCGTATATTGCTTTTATCTTACGTATACAGACGCGCGTATACAAATCATTCCTACGTAGCTAATATCATACAATTAGAATTATTGTTACTTGAAAATTAACACCTTGACTTAAATCATTCACTTAAAATCAATGGATAGTGGTCGAAAATTTACGCGTTGACTCTTCGAATTTTAATTTCGATTACGTATATCGTTATAGGTATATAGGCAAAATCATCAGGCTGAATTTTACATGCTGTCGGATATTTTGGACGCTTTCAACTGATGGGCTTCGCGAATTAATTTTTTTTTCTCCCTCTTTCATAAAAAATCACATTTACTATGTATTATACATATTACTTCGAGTAGTTGTGTACACACATACGTCCATGCATCCGTCCTTCAATCAACGCACAAATCGCTTGCTCATGCATTAATATCTAGATATATAAATTTATTTTCCAAGCGAGATAAATAGCATCTCGTTTACGGAGCAAATTTTGGATAGATGCCATTCACTCGCTAGAAAGTGAATGGTATCCACCAAGAAGGAAGGAACTTATCTCGCTTGGATAACGCATTTTTCTTTGTCCGCTAATTTAAGCCCGAGAAATAATACATCGTGTTTCGTTATACATCTTACAGATTATCTCATATACATTAAAGAAAAGTGTGTGTAGTTATCACTTAAGATATTAAGCGAATAAGAGCTAAAAAATACACGACGCGCACACGTAGACTTGTAAGAAAATCGAGAAAAAATGTCCATTAAAACTATTCGGCGGAGTACTACATCGGTAAGTCGCTAAGAGTTGGGTAGCACGAGAGCAGATTCTTCTTCTTGTCTTCTGTTGTTTTTTTTTTCAGCTAAATAAGCACAAAATCACAATGAATTTATATGTAACAAATCACACACACAGCCGGATGATCATCTTAGAGATTGAGCGAGCAAATGGCACAGCTCTGCGACACGCACGGATGGGCGTGCATGTGATGATGATGATGTATCTGGGGCTGGGCCGTGGCAGCGGCGTACTGCAGCCAGGCGTTGTTGGTCGGCCAGACGGCCGTCGCCGCGCCAGGAGAGATCGATATCTCCTGGTGGAGCAGTTGTTGTTGCTGCTGCTGCTGATGCTGCTGCTGCTGTTGCTGCTGTTGTTGCTGGATTTGTTGCTGATGCAACTGTTGTTGCTGGTGATGATGATGTTGCTGCTGTTGCTGATGCTGCTGAACGACCACTTGTTGCTGCTGCTGTTGTTGCTGCTGCTGTTGCTGCTGCTGAGCCGCTGCCACCGCGGCCGCCGCAGCCGCGGCTGCTTGCTGCTGAGCCTGCTGCAGCAGATACTGCTGCTGTTGCTGGACCTGCTGCTGCTGCAACTGTGCCTGCAGCTGCTGTTGCTGCTGGTGCAGCTCGACGAGCGGCGAGCGGCGATTAACACGGCCGCTGCCGCTGTTGTTGCTGCTGTTGCTGCTGTCGCTCGCGTCGTGGAACGACTTGTTGTTGTTGTTGTTGTTGCTGCTGCTGCTGCTAGCATTGGCGCTGCTGTTGTTGCTGCTGGCTTTAGTGTCATTCTTGGCAGCTCTGCTCTTGTTGCTACCGCTCTGGGACGAGCCTCCGCCACCCTCCACTCACATCACCTACAAACGAGGATTCAGGTTTTTTTTATTGAACTGTTTTTCGTTTTTCACCCATGACGAGAATGGCTGTTGAAAATAAAAATAAAAAAAACATTCGATGACTTTCGGGCTTATGGATCATGATTATAATAATGAAAAATTATTATTATTTTTTTTCAGTTTCTCTTACAGAGAGATTAATAATGTAATGTAATGATAATAATGATCACACAAACACACTTTATAGTAGCTAATCCAAGCGGAAACTTGTGCGGCAAGCAGTTTATTATATTATGACACGTTAAAGTGCGAGAAATCATGAAAGCGAAAAAATGCAGATAATACAATATCACAATAGTTTCTACGAGTCATAATGTAAGTATATAGGATACCGGTGTCGGCGATTTTTCCATCGAAATCTCCTTCGCGCGTTCTTTTCTTACATTACAAAGCTCGCTCGACATTTTTATGAAAATTCTTGCTCAACGGGAAATTATTATCGCTGTTAAAATCTCTGGCTCGCACTCGCCCCGGTTCTCTCTTTGTTATAGATTATTTTCTGGCGCGCGCGCGCGGATATTGGTATACATATTATTATTGTTGCAGCAGCAGCAGCAACAACATCGGTAAATTTTTAACCGAAGAAGGAGTGAATAACGAAGACGAAGAAGAAGTCAAGTCGAGTCCAGTCCAGTCTTTCGTGAACGTATATATTGGTAACTATAATTTGCGCGCGAGAGAGGATAATTTTTATTAGCTCACGGAGAGAGAGCGAGAGAGAAAGAGGCAGTTTTGCGCGCTCCAAGCCTTTCAACAACTCTCTTATACACTTGCCTTTTTTCTCATTGTTCGCTTTGTACGCCACGGTAAACGCGTAATGTGTGTACTTGCAAAATATTTCGTTGTCGGCACTGGAAACAGCAGCAGCAGCAGCAGCAGCAGCAGCAACAGCAGTGGAAAGAAGATAAATAAAAATATCGAAAAATCCATCGATAATTTTCGCGTGCTAATGATCGTGTGCGCTGGTATAAGAGAGGCCGGCCGAAAGTACTCCGGGTGAATCCGTCCTCACGCGTGATTAAGTTACAAATTTTGATTATTCAGTGAAATTTGCTATACTGCTACGCAAATACGGAGAGAGAGAATGAGAGGCTTCCAGCGCAACGCGTTAGAAATGTTAAATTTATTAGCGATAAAAGCTGTATCTGCAAAGATCTAATCATAAGACGAGCTCTCCGCTGCTGCCGCCGCTGCTGCTGTGCACGCGCGAGTATAAGAGCCGAGTGTAGTAGTACTACGTTAAAGCGGCCCGTATAGAGCGCAGCATATATAAGAGAGCGAGTGTGAGCGGGGGATGAGAAAGAGAGAGAGAGAGAGAGAGAGAGAGAGGACTCCCGAGGTAGGAGGAGTAGGAGGAGTCTAAAGGGTAAAGTGAGCAGAGTAATGGCCGTTTGTATGTGTGCAGGCCGTGTAGGTGGACGACGACGAGAGAGAGAGAGAGTCAAGTGCGAGAGAGCACAAGGCGAAGGCGCTGCCGCTTGTATGTTTTAGATGGGCGCTTGGGTTTCTTGCTAGGATTAATGTTTGCCTTGTGATTAATATTTTAAGAGGGGATTGTGTCCGGTTGACCAGTAGTAGGTACCTATACATAAGGCATATACGCGCGCATGCATTTATACACAGACTTGGCCGCATTTAGCCGCCCTGCGTACAGCTACTACTAATTTCGTTATTCCTCGCGCGCGGCCAGATAAACTTAAGAGAGAGAGAGAGAGAGAGCAGCAAGTTCGGTTATTAATGCGCGCCTAGCTTCTCATTTATTCAAACTCGAGCGGGCGTTCGATTCATCATGAGACGCGCGTGGACCTCTTATCGAGGCTAGCATTAAGTAATAGGCAGAGCGAAGTAGTATAGAGGCAGGACAGCGTGGCCCGAAACGAGTATAAGTGAGAAAGGCAATAAATCGCGTAGTAGAGTAGCCCCCGCACCACAAGCGCGAAATCCAAAACAAAGCTTTGCTTAGTCTACAAGCCAAAAATTACCAAAAGTCAGACACACACACGCATACATTAGCTCGTGTTATTGTTACATGCACAAACGTACCTGTAATATTTGACTGGCCTCGAAGGCGGTGCCGGGCAGCAGGATCACGGGGCTGCTGACGTGGCCGCTCTCGACGCAGATCATGTTGGGGAACTCGTCGTCGCCAAAGTCCGGTATGTCGCGGGCCTTGTCCAGCCACGGATTCCAGACTACGGTGTCCGGGAAGTTGTACTTCTGGACGCGCATCTTCCGACCCGAGACGACGTTCGTGATTATGTGCTCGGGCTGGGTGTTCTGGTAGATGCGGTCCGTCCACTCGTTCACCGTCACCACGTCGCGGCCCTCTTGGAAGATTTGATTGTCCCTCGTCTGTGTAAATCGTGCGATGCAACAGAGACAATTTGTTGATCGAATGACTTTCTTTGTTTTTGTTGGATAAGGTCAAGATTGGTTCGAGTTTCATGTGGATCCGAGTTAAAAATATTTACGTTAACGCATTAATGTACACGCGGAGGAAATTTTTCCTTCGTGTAGATGAAAAAACTTGTTAAATAGTTATTTAACAAGGGCCCAAAAGGCGTTTTCCGCCCAAAAACTTAATTAGTTATTTTTCGGAACTGTGCTTTATGCGATTATGTTTACTTTGTCACTTGCAGATTTACAAATAAAGGTACTCGCCATATAGCGGTAAAGGTTGTCTTTAATTTGGATTGAATTTAACATTTTTATTAGCAATTGACGTAAAATTTAGATCAATATTAAAACATTAATTTTCAATACAAATGTTAAGATCTGAGTAAAGAATCAAATTCCTTTTACTTAAAAAAAACTGTACGTTGTTGCATTTCCTACTTTTTAAAGAAAGTTGGCATAAAAAAATAAATCAATGTTTTGATACATTAATTTTCAACGACAAAACGACAATTTCATGTTAAATCGTATACTTTAATTTTAAAGTCTGATTTTACATAAAAACTGAATAAAATTTAAGATTTTTACCAACAGTGTGGTTTGAACGCGTAAAATGTCACTCACTCAGTTAAGACTCACGATGCTCGGGTCAGCTGCGGAAAATGAAATTGTCACACAAGATTGAAATTATGCAAACAAGAAAAGGGAACTCGCGTGCGGCACATTACGAAATGTGTCAAGAAATTAACATATTTTTAATGCGTCAGAGGCTCGGAAAAACCACGTGCACGTATGCACGCAAAAAGAAAGAAAAAATTATACCTTATCGATGAAAGTGCAGCCGTGCAGTCCGGTGATCTGGCAGCGCCTCACGTCCGGCACCTTGAAGTACGTGTGCAGCAGCAGATTGAAGCTGAAGGTGTGCTCCTTGCTCGGATTGTAGACGCCGATGTTGAAGTGCAGCTCCTTCTCGCGCAGGATCAGCCGATAGGTGAGCCTGAACGGATAGTTCCACATGGAGCGCGTGAACTCGTTGTCCATGAGGGAGAATATGGCCTCGACGTCGCCGCTGGCCATGCGCTCGGGCGGCTTCTCCACGGACCAGCGACAGAGCCGCGCGAAGCCGTGCCCGGGCCCGAAGGTCCAGGCGCCGAACTGCGCTGGATAGGACAGAGGATAGAGGTTAGCTGTGAGATGTGATGGCGGCAAGTGAGGCAAGTGACGGGGATAATTGCGAGGCGAGGATAAGCGTTTGATATCAGGCGAGAGAGAGACAACAAAAACAGTACGAAAAGCACAACGTTAATAAAACACACTCTTTTATCGATTAATTGTTAGTAATATTATTTTTGTTATATTCTTATATAGTAAATTATGTATATCTGTCTGTGTGTGTCAAAAAAAAAATTTTATCATGATCGAAGAATTAACTGTGAATAAGTAATTGAAAAGAAAAATGTATAATAGTTTTGAATGAACTTTATGCCCAGTCAAATCGAGCGAGGCTGATTTAAAAGTACAAAAACTTTTCGATCAAAGTGTTGTCGATAATCGAAGGTAACAAAAAAATTATAAGAGGGTAAAATGTGTAGCTTTATATCTGTATATAGAGGAGAGAGAAAGAGATGTATACTTACGAAAGACAAATGGGATTCCCCCTCTAATTGCTTTCTTTCCATCGAAAACGGCCTGTTTACTGAAACAGAGAAGCAAAAAGGAAAGACAATTGTCTTCAATTACTTAATTTCACTTGTGTGCAGTTTTGTATCATTAGCTACGTATAGCAGCTATATATATAACAAATATATATCAACAAATTGGGCTTGTTTCTCTCGATACGCATCGACGAGAGTCGGTCGGATGCGTACATACGAAAAATTTTTCTCGACTCCGAGACTCGCAACAGTGTAGGTATATAACAGTTTATTCTTCTGCGCTCGTCGCGCGGCAAAGTAGTATATATACGGCGCGCGTTAAATTGCTTACGCGCAATTTTTAATGATCCGCAGCCTAACAGCCTGGTGTGCGTGCAGGTATACGCCAATAAATTAGCATTGAATGACGCGACGCGCTGACGACCGCGATGACTGCCTGCTAGACGTGGCAGCTCGTGTCCAATGCACACAAACAAGCGTCAATGTAAAGCTAGTAGAAAGTTTATTTAAATTTTGTGCGCGCAGTTCCCAATGATTATAGATGTATTACTGCTGCGTTGTCGTCGCTATATAATACGTAACACAGGCGCGTGCAGTTAACAGACGTTCGAGAAAGAAAATCTACGACGTTTTCGTTAACTTTTATCGTCTTCGCCAAGCTATCGCCGCAAACATTTACTTCGTTTTCGCTATCGCGCTACATGTGTCTGTGCAAAGCATACACAGTATAGTATAGTAGCTCACGGAGAATAGTTGCAGTATTAGCGGTAGTAGTAGTAGAAGAAGAAGAAGATTATAGCGTTAAGACGAGAGCGCAAACGAAAGTTTCGGTGCGCGGCTTGATTGATTGTCGTTTCAGCCTTCGAAAAAAGTAATTTATCAAACAAAAAGACGAAGACGATCGGCTCGGTGCGGAAAAAAGGGGGGAATATATAGATTCGTCGAGTTGCTGCTGCTGCTGCCTTCCCAACGCTCTGTATATATGTAACAGACCGAGAGTGTATCTCTCCGTTCCTTACGCGAGGACGAGGACGAGGACGACGATGATGATCGGTGGTGTATACTGCTACATATATACCTTCGGCAATATGCGCGCTTATACTCGCCTCGGAATTGCAGCTCTGTATTATCGAGTCTTTTCTTTGAGCAGCAGCAGCAGCAGCGAGTATAATCATTATAATGCATTTTTACAGGGATGAGCTTTATGTTTTCATTTTCGCAGCGCTCGCAGGGTCTCTCTCGGCCACTACTTGCGTTAAGGCTGTAAGTGTAAAAATGCCCATACCTCGGGTGGAGGAGAGAACACTTGGCTTTGCTTATATATACGTGTAATGCACGACGCATGCTTTAGCTCACTGCCTTTGCTGCTCTGCTCTGGCTTTTCAGCGCCGCAATGCCGAGTAAAATATATAAGAGTCTGAGAAAACAAATAAAGCAGCGCGAGAGAAACGAGAGCGAAGAACGAAGAAGAGCTGCTGAGGCCAGAGCGTCGACGATATGTATATATATACAGAAACGAGAGCCAACAGCAATTCTTACGCTCTCGTTCGGGAAGAGAGAGAAAAGATCCGTTGGACGCGCGAGATTCTGGAGCCGAGAGGAGCCGAGCGCGCGCGCGCCACAGGAACGATTTTTGCGTTAACGATCTACGCCTCGAGCAGCCCGAAGCAGCCGCGGCGGCGCACACGGGTAAATTCTGCGTCCGACCAATGGCTATATATCGGCTGCGCTCGCGTCGAGAGTGAGACAGAAAGAAAGGATTACGTAAAAATTTCGCACCGACTTTTGTGTATATTATATTATTACGGATTTTTCTCTTTCTTTCTCACACGGAGCGAAACTTGCAAAGAAAAATGTTCGAGTCGTCGAATCGTTATAGTTATCGTGTAGCAGCGTATGCACGATAATAATATTTGCTGCACTCGGTGCACGTTTACTGCACTACTCCTCGATCGTCCTCAACCGACTACGTTGTTGTTCTCTTTCAACTTGGTACTGAATTTTTTTGTGACTCGCTCTCAGCTATGTATATGTATGCAACGATCGATGCAATGATGATTTTGCGGAATGGCTTATTATAATGTGTGCATGCATGATTGTCGCTAATATACTACGAGCGAGCGTAAGTGTACATCATGTGCCTGTGCCAATGTATGAGTGCATGCACATCGGCGCGCAACGATGATTTTTTGCTATCGTTTGCTTCTATTCTCGATGCAGCAGCAACGCAGAGCCAACGACAACGAGTTACATTGAGAATTATTGTCGATATTATAATGTGTGTGAGTGTGTGAGTATGTGTTATCCGAAGGTGACACGTCGCGAGGAGCGCGCAGAAGCAGGTCGATGATAAATTTTGCGAGACTCGACTCTATGATACGTACGTGCGATACGTTTACGATTCGTTGCCGGTCGCAGAATTAATATTCCCGAAGCAAGAAGGGCTCGCTTGATTAAATTGCCTCGTGCCTGGAAGAGCAGGCGTGTGTTACGTACTAGTGGTACTAGTAGTTAGTAGTGGTAGCTACGAGATGACCCGTTGTAACCGCTTAATAATTGCATTTAACCCGAAAATTTATCCTTCCTTCGGCGTCGGCGCATTTTGCCTCTATGTGTACAGTAGTTGGCGCAGCAGTTTCTTACGGTAATATTATATATTTATCACATACGTGTGTGTGTGTAAGTAAGTAAGCGAGCGAGAGGCAAGGGTGTATACGTGTGTGCGCGTGATTTTCCTATAACAGTAGGATGATTTATAGGGAGCATTGATTTATTATGGGCAGCGCATAGTAGTACACAGTCGAGAAAGAGAGTGAGCGTGCGTGTTATATATACATACTGGACTACGTATGTACGTACGACGACGACGTACCCTTTCGGCCAAGATATCGTAAATCGAGAGGGTCCTTTGCTCTCGCTTAGACAGACTCTCTCTTCTCTCTCTTCTCTCTCTCTCTCTCTCTCTTTCTCAGCTGCTAAAGTATTGCCTACTGGCACATTATATAAGTATAATGCGATCATACGATTGAATAAATGCCTTTTCTATGCGACTAGCTGCTGCTGCTACTGCTTGCAGTGCCAGCAGAGAGCAAGGAGCTTCTTGAAAATCTTTTGATAAATCGTCGACGGAGTGCTGTAGGCTACACTGTATCTCTCTCTCGTTTTCTCACTCGAAAGAAGAAGAAGAAGAAGAAGAAGAAGAAGAAGAAGGGCATGTAAATATTTTGATATTTTTGCGAACAAATTTTATCCTAGCTTCTTCTTTTTTTTCCTTCTCTTTTATATACAGGTGTTGTTGGGGGCTAAACGATACACGATTCGACGGGGGAAATAACGCGTGGTGGCGAGAGGGAAGATGTAAATTCAAAATAAACGAGCATCCAAGACACTCGTCTTAGTACTCCGGAGAAAGGGTCAAGTATGTACAGCGGTGCACAATAAGTCGGCCGTTTTGGCTGCTGCTATACTTATACCACTACAACACGGGAAAACTTGAAAGGCCAAGAGAAGACGCGCTTAAAGTAGCTCTGTATGAAGCTGTGTGGCGGTGGTGGTTGCTGCGTGTGTACGCGTCAACTTCAGCAAAGGCCAGTGAATCACTGGTTGTTGCTGCTGCTAGTCTCAGTTTCGGGCAGCAGCAGCAGAAGCCACTTCCTGAAGAGACGACACCCTGCTAATACCCAGCGACAATTTTCGGGGGCATCTATACACACGTATAGCATATACGACGACGACGACGAGAGCATGGCTCGTGGCGGGCGGGCGGGCGCGCGATAAGAAAGCATTTCTGTATGTCTCTCTCTTGGCTTCCAAAAGACTAGCCAGTGCTTGTGTGACAGGAGCCTTGACTAATGGTCGCGTCGTTGTAGTCCGCGAAGAAGAGAAGAAGAAGAAGAAGAAGAGGCGACTTGCTAGCTCGCCTTCTGAGCATCAAGACTTTATCTTCGACGCGTATAGATATACAGCGGCACATACTAGGCTGCACATATATACACACATACGATAGGCGTCGCTAACGATAGCCCAAGTACACTCTCTGACCACTCTGACTTTCTCTCTTCATCCCCCACGTATACGCACGATGCGCTTATATGTACGCTCGTAGTCGTCGTCGGTGGGGTGGCGAGTCTTGATTACCCTTCGGATACTCTTGGCCTTTTTGCCGCGTATACGCATATATATACAGGCACACGCACGCATGGGGCTACCGTTGGAAAATTAGATTTTGATGATAAAGGGCCCCGACGAGAGCTGCTGAGCTCGCAAGCAGCAGCAAAGATAACTCTATCGGTCGGTCGGTCTCGCGCGCGCGTAAAAGAGAGAGAGAGAGAGCTGTGAATTTGTCATTAATTTTTCGTGCCTCGCTGGCCTGTATAATGAGTCGAAAAGAGATCGGCTTGCTGCTGCTGCTGCTTGCGCGGAGGGAGAGAAAGCCACAGAGCAGCCCAGCTTGTATACCTCTACGTATACGGGCCGCTTCCTTTTAAGCAGAAAAGACAGAGAGAGAGACTACTACAGGATCCTTCGTCGAGGGAGAGACGAGGCGCAGGACCCGTAAAGTCGCTTAATGATCGCTTGTACGTGGCTAAAATTAAAAAGTATGACTGTTTCAATCTTGCCAGAGAGCCGAATAATGCATGCTATGTATATATTGCGGCGGAAAGCTATATCGTTTATGGACCGAGTGACAAGGACGACGACGACAACGAGAGCGTGTCGTTAATGACGGGGAAAGAGCAGCAGCAGCAGTAGCTAAGCAGCGCGGCTGTATTGTTCTAATTTGCACATTATATGGCTCGATTCATTAGGCAGCCCGTCGTCGGCTCCGAACTCGTGTCGCTTGCGAGCGCAGCAGCCGTCCATCCAAGCATATATATATACCTACCCACCCCCGCTTCTGCTCGCGTCGACCGATCATCACCCGCGTATACAGATCCCTCCAATCGTACATAAGTCTTTATTAAATTGGACGAAATCGTTTTATAATTGCAGCGAATTATCGCCATCCCCCTCCAGCGGGCACTTGAGCGCGCGGCGGCCG